TTAAGAGTGGCTTGCTCGGGGCTACCACCGAACGCTGCGGATTCAAACGGGTTGGCCTATTAACTAGAACCTTTTGGTGGACATGACTGGACAGTTAGAAAGAAAAGGCTGCATTCAACAAATGCTTTGGAAGCAAAGAACCTTCTACTCGCATACGATGTCGAAGCACGCAAGGCGGCAGCGAACGCAGTGCCGAAAGTAAAAGCTGATTTTTGAGGGAAGCTCAGTCAGGTGTTGGAATCAAACTTCCAGAAATCAAACAAGGTATTCTGACAGACTATCTGCTGTTTCCGAGGTGAAAAAGGGCATATCAAGGACAAGTCCGATCACCCTGTTACTGAGGATGAGGACATTCTTCGACAATGCAAATACTTTGAGGAACTCTTCAATCCTGAGCAACCGCAGAAAGACTCGGATGAACAGCAGAAGGCAACGGATACTAGTCTTTCAGTAGATGAAATCCCAGAAACTGCGAAAAGCTACACGCCCAGAAATGCCTAATGGTTTAAGCGAGCAAGGCATATACTGGCTTAGACGTGTCTGTAATACTGCAATGGCTTTGGGTAAAACACCAGCGGACTGGAGAATGGGAGTTGTTGTAACCCTACCTAAAAAAGGATGCAACAAGAAGTGATCTAATAATCCGGGTATTATGTTATTGAACCTCCCAGGTAAAGCCTACCCGAATATGCTGGAAAGCAAGAGCCGCGGAAAACTGACTCAAAAACACAAGAGCTGTGTGACTTCCGGCCAGGTGAAAATACCTCTGACCATAAATTTGCGCTGCGCCAGATCGTTGAGAAATCGTGGGAGTATGCCTGACCGGTGTATGTGCTTTGTTGACCTATAAAAAGCCTATGACCGGATCCGGCGCAACAATCAGTGGTCATTCCTGCAAACCTACTGGATAAATGGCCAGTTGCTACGGATCATTCGGTATTCGGATAGCAGGAGCTGCCAGAGAAATTGGCGTTAACTCGAGCGTTGGCATTGACCTCCGGCAAGGCTGAATTCTATCTCCTCTCGCGCTTGTACTTCACTATGGGTTGAATAGTCAGACGCTGCCGAGGGCGACGAGTGTATCGCTGTAAGAGGTCGAGGAAGGCTGCCATTTGCAGACGACATTGTTTTGCTCGCATGTCTGGAACTGATCCCCAGCTTTCCCTGGAATCGTTCGCAGCAGTTACTGTTTGCTGAGATCATCACCTTAAGCTGCTATCATAAATAAAACGTCTCTGATTTATGGCATCCGCTATATCCACCGCCTACCAACTGAGTAGGAAGACTAACCGATCATCATCCCTATGCTTACTTACCTACAGTAATGAATTAGTGGACTATCACTGAAAATTTCGATTCCAGGTACAAGCGGCTGAAATGGGCTTTCTGAGACGAATCGTTGGCTTAACGCATCTTGACAGGGTTCGTAATACAGATGTGCTAGACAGCTTTGATGTACAGTCTTTGGCTCTACTTACTGAGAAGTAACAGCTGCGATGGTTTGGACACGTGCTGCGAATGCCTCCAGAAAGGAAGGCTAAACAACTGTTTCTTGCCTAACCGATCGGCTCAAGGACCAGGGGACGACAAAGATTAACTTGGTACAAACATATCGAAGGAGTCTGCTTCAGACTGCAGCTGTCTTCTGCCGAAGCTCAGACTCTGGCACAGGATCGCGAACGTTGGAAGCACTGTCTGTCGTGTCTGCCTCCGCGACCCGAAAGAAGACGACACGGAAAATGAATAAATGAATGAGTAGCATCATTGAAGAATGCATTCGATCACACTCTTACTTAGCTTTAGAACCATTACTCGAATCACTGCACGCCAGTGCAATATAAGTATGATGGTTTAAATTCACGGATATAGAAGAGTCAGAAAAAAATCCATTTCAAAAACTGAAGTAATGGCTACAGTATAATAGGAACCTGCAAGTCGTAAAACGAAAATGCTAAGAACACCCCTCGCTATAAGGCATTAAATTTCGAAGGAAACCCTAGTATTCGTTTGAACAAAAATCGTGACTAACTCGTCAGCGCTGTTCAAAAAAGCAGTTTTATGTCTGGAAAACAAAGGGCCGACCAGCGAAGCGGACGCTTGATGGACGACGTAGTGTTCAGAAAGCGGCAAAAAACCCTTTTTAATGAACATAAAATAACAACATTCAAACTGGGAATATACATATTTACATAGGTGAAACAAAAAAAGTTGAAGAGGTCAACGTTCCTGCGGACGGTTGGACGCCAAGGGCAACTTTCAAGCACCGTGCAAAAGTCGTAAACGACGTCGACGAAAGGAGGGGGCCGAGGCAAACAACACGCGAGGACGGCGTGTGGGTGAAAACTTGTGTTGGTCAACGGCGATGGCTACGGGACATCGAACAAAACTGACGATGGCCGATTGTTGGGAGCACGCAACGATGACGAAGGGTGATGGTCGGGGTGGCCAGGCACATTCAATGCGATGTGATGCGCGTCTGATAGCGTCGGTCGGTCGGTGGTCACTTGTTGCCGTGGGTGAGTCGATAAACACGATGCTGCGACCCGTCGCCGTCTGACACCTCGAACACAAACGCCGTGCACAACAACGCTTCCTGGGTGTCCTTCGCGGTGACCAGCTGAAAAACAAAACGGCACCGTTACAAAACACCGTACAAAAGTCCTGTGTGAAAAAATCAACGAACCCACTGCGCAGCGTGAGAAAAACAAGCCGGTCGCGCGGCTTCAATTGTTGCCCTATCTGAGCATGATTATGACTCACTAACGTGGAAGTTTTTGTGCCAAGCTTTTTGTTCAGAGCGTTGAACACCTGCTGTGACCGGAACAAATTTCCAAAATACTACGCACGGGTTTGATGAGAGACTACTGCAGCTTAAACCCCGTTATTCTAACTAGACGAGCCACAGGATGGACTACAGACCGTAAAAATACTTGTATCGCAACGACATTCAAGCATGAAGATTAGGGGTCAGCTTTCGCACTCAAAAATTCAAAACTTTTTCCAATAGCATGAAGTTCACGTGTCAGCACGCGCGGTAGCTCCACTTCAGCACAGTCAGCTACAAAAAAAACAGCCGCAGAATGGTAACTTTCGTCCCATTAACAAGAAATGATGGGTCAGCAGTTAAGCAGCAGTTTGTTCGCATATTGGCTGACATGTTGGAACAACGAGATGAGAAAAATGAGTTAATGCAGTGGCTCAGATACATGCTTGTCACATATACCTACTGGCATTTTCTTTCAGGTCCTCGTGATCAACAGCTACGCTAGACAAAAAGACCTTGAAGAAAGTACATGAGACGCAACACTACCAACCAAGTTTTTCAAGAAAAATCCTCTTATATTACAAACAGTTGTTAACAGTAATCTTGATTTTTCGCTAACGTTAATATCTTTGGCTAGAACTGAGCTCGATATGGAGAATAAGCATTACATCGAAACAACTCATCACGTTATAATCAGGTGAACAATTCAGTTAGGATAGGACCTGTCCGAAAGACGATGAATCGTCTGATAATAACTTACAAAATCCAGCAACTGTCAAACATGCTGTTTAAATTGGATATCAGTGCTTGGTAGTATCGTTGTGTATGGGCCTCTTTCCCATGAGATATTTGATCTACTCGAATATGATACCTCGCTGCGATATGTTCTTCACCGGTACCGACGTTATTTTCATCTTTTTTTTGTCAGTGCATGTTATGCCGCTAAAGGTTTGATTTGCTTTTTTTATCCTTAAAATGTTATTCAACGATGATTCCGTACCAAGAGTAATATATTCACTTGAATGGCACACAGTTTCGCACTGGCAAAGAACCGATCAACATCTTGATATTAACCGTAATCTGCCTGCCTGTGTCATTCTGTCAAAATGTTTCCTCTAGCAATCAGTCGTTCGACTGATATCAAATATGCTGACTGGTCCAGTAACAACCAACAAAATTCCTGAGAGACGAACAGCATTTTCCATCCCTTGACGTACTTCTGGGTAGCACGTCAATTATGCTTCACCCCATGACCGAAATGCTCAATCTAATGATGACCGGTGGACGGCACATGATGCAGTAACTTTACGGATGTCTTACCGCATCTCAAGCAACCGCAGGATTACCATGAATAGGCCTCTCTAAATTCGATGTTGACCGCCTGCAGATACGTCCGTCGTTTGGACCCTATAGCAGGTTTCGTTAAGCAACTGATATTTTGTCTTTACACCTGGTATAATCATAACAAGATTCGTTGTTCTTAGAGCAATAACGATGATTTCCATAGTTAGCTTCGTTACTAGCTGAAATCAACTAAAGTTGAAGATGCGGCGAGGAAACGTGGCTGAAATGCGTTTATAAACAAAGCTCATGGCACTCAATTTAGACTTACATTTAAAATATGCTCATTCTCTTTTAATCTATTTGGAGGCACTTCAGCTCATCTATACTTTTATGAGAGCATTTTCGATGACCTAGATTTCTTAGAAGTTATGTCACGTATTTTTGTTTACACGGCTGGCCTTGATAAAAACTAGTCTAAGGTCCGTCGACTTACGTGTCATGGTGATAAAGATTCTACTTCTTAACATATACCTTTTATTTTGATCTTGGTGAGGAACAACCCAATGGCATTGAAGCCAGTAAGACTGTTGGGTATAGCGAATTCCGTTTCTTTAAGATTCACGGAGTTAAAACAAAAAACGAATGAAGGATGTCATTATAATTCTTTGATCTTATCTATTTTCATTTCACTCACATAAGTCATCAGACTCGAACATTCGCATCAGAACGTCAGCAAGTTCTTTCGCAGCTTCATATACACAGGTTATGACTGACAAGAGTAGTTGTTTCGACGACCTTTCGCGGCAAGCTGGTTAATGATATACCAGCTGTCATTCATTTTATGTATATGCATTTACTCAGTACATGCGGGATTGCAGCAGGCTAGGGTGTGTGGCAATTCTCTGATTAATAGCCCAATTACCTGGTATTCTGTTGAGAATGGTGACGTTCGAAGGGCTAGGATATCCTGTGTGGAATACATACGATGTAATGTGAAAACAACTAGTTTAGCAAATCTTAAAATCCTGATCCAGTAATCACCATTTTTGCGTTCCACGTTTCTTGCAGAACCTAGTTAATTC